GCAGGACCCAAGGTGAGAGTGGAGTGGGGACAGATCTCCTGAAGGATTAATTAGCTTGGGAGTGATCTCAAAACAGGGACAAAACCCCACAACAGGGATTAAAGTCAGCTCCAACACGCAGCCAGACTCCAGTGAGTTTGGGATTTGGAGGACATCCTGATTCCCTGCTTCCTGCTGCCAGGAAATAAGTTTGTTGCTGAAGATTTCACTGACATCAAAAGCCAAAGTCAACTCAAAATGCCCTCCTGAAAATGATCCATCTGGGGAACATTACACGTGAAAAAGACAAAAAAGATGATGATGCCAGGGAGCAACAGAGTTCCAGCAACATCTTCATTACAAGGTATTTTTCTCTTTAAAGAGCCCATGGAGCCAAGCATCCAATGTCATGTGCAATAGGCAGCAGGCATAATTCAGCATAGAAATTAAGAGGGCCATTATTATTATTATTTTAATCACATAAAAGGACTCTCCAGGGTTTTGCAATTTTGTGATCACAGGGAAAGAGACCCAGAGACAGAAGAGAAAAGGTGCAGTAAGTGATTGCACAACTGGAGGCTCCCATTTCTCTTCTGGTAGCTGGGATGTTGCTGAATTAATATTTTCATTCAATTATCTCTGTTACATATTCACAGACCAACTCCTGTCGCTTCTAAGTGAGCTGGGTGTGTTTGCTGCCTGCTAAATCCTGGATGAAGGAAGCATCCAGGGAAATGTTTGGGATTTGTTCCCCAAATTTGCTCCCCAAATGTTCTCTTTGGGAAATGTTTGGCTCAGCTGGCCAGACTGGGGGCACTAACCCTGGCATTGGAGATTTTGGGGTCCAGCTGCTGAGCTGGCAGCCCCAGAGCTGCTGCTGTTAAAAGCTGCTGTCACAGGAGCTTGGGGGTGTTAAATCCACTGGGGATTCCTGAGATTTCCAGTGGATTCCTGGAATCTCCATCCAGATCTGAGCCTGGCAGGTCACAGTGCCACAGGGCAGAGACCAAGTCTGCTGGGATTTGCCAGGCAGAACAACCTCAAGGTTCTGGACCTCAGGACAAGCAGCTGGGTCCTTTCCAGAAGCCTCTCTGGACATATTCCTGCGGTCACTGCTTTTCTTCCCCAGCCATTTCAACCCCTTTTTTTTTAATCCTTAGAGCCAAAGCAGCCCCATTTCCAGGCAGCTGAGGCCAGTGACCTCCTGTCCTCAAAGCAAACAGCTCAAAGTCTGAGCCCAGCACACAAACACAGCCACGGATTTTCCAGGAATTTCTCCACCCTGGGCCCGGTCACCAGGCAGGCAAACGTGGAGCAACAGGAGATCCCTGCTGCAGGATGAGGTGTAAACACCTGCTGTCCTTTCAGTCCAGCTGCTGGCAGAGCTGTGCCACCCCTGCTGCTGGCCTGGCAGTGTCCTGGCTGTGACAGTTGTCACTTGGACTGCCATCAGCTGAAGCCACACAGCCTCACCACGCTGCAGAAATTCAGCATATGCTGAGAGGAGCAATGGCTGCAACGAGGCAATTCATGATTTCAGGCACGATATCGAGTGGGGAAAGAGGAAAAAAGGGGAGAAACCTGGTTAAGGCTTGCTATTTTTGAACTAAAATTAATAAACCAACGTGCATTTAGGTGGTGAGAAACGCCTAACAGCACAGCAGGGTTCCATATTTACTTGCTGTCACTGATTTCAGAGCAAACTGGCTCAGGGTATAAGTCAAAGAAAGATTCTCCTTCTGCCAGCACTGCACACTTCAAGAGATATCTGAAAATCAGGCTTCTCACCTTATCATTGTTAAAAGACTGTGCAATCAAAATGTAACTGACAATTCAGCTGATGCACGAGCAGAACGAGATGCCAGCTCACTCTCCCGTAGCTACAGAAGCTCTGTAAAGCTATCAGGATTTTAAAAACATTTTGTCAGAAAAATAAGTGGCTCTGACAGAGCTGGGGAGCGGGCAGAATAATAATGCAGTGCTCTGGAGCTCACGGTGACAGGTGCATTTCAGGGGCTGTGAGACACAGAGCTGCTGCCCTGTGCAGCAGCCCAGGGAGCCAAGCTCTGCAAACATTGCTGAATTTCATCCCTACAGCACCCAAGGCAGCAGTGCTGAGGTGGTTGAGAAGGGTTAAAATAACTGCATCAGCACTGGGAGCACAATTTGTACCTGCAGATCTCCAGTCTCAGCCTCAGCCTCAAGCTCAGCTGTGCCATTTTCCTGAAATGTTCCTAAAGCAGCTCGTTTGGGGCCTGGATTGATCAGTGCCTGGCATCCTGCAGCTCTTCCTTGAGAAATCCTGCAGACAACCCTGAACCCCCCAGCTGTGCAGCCTTTAGGAGCATGTGGGGCCTCTGGAACCTCGTGATTTGGGGTTTGTTCCTGCAGAGATCACCCCCCACCCTCTGTGGGGCACCGTGCCCGCTCCCATGGCACCAATTCCAGGGAAATCATCCCACATCTGAAAGCTTAAACCGTGTTTACCCCACTGGAGGGCACGGGCTGGGCTGTTCAGCGTGGCACTTCTTATCACAAGCATCACTGATGAATAATTAATGCTGATGAAAGGAGCACAGCTTGTGGGTTTAAGGAAAGGGCTCTCAAGCTGCAGTGATTGTAAATGACAGCAATCACAGGAGTTCTGTGCAAATAAACTCTGGCCAGAAACGTGGGAGAGGCTTGATGAGAGAAACAGGAGCTGGAGAACACCAAGCACCAGCAGCAATGTGAGGCCAGGTCTCCACATCACAGTCCAGGAGAGGGAAAATGCTGGAAAACACCTGAGAAGTGGCAAGGTTGGATCTCTGGAGAGATTAACGAGGCTGGGGATCCAGGTTTTCCTACCTGGGCAGGAAACTGGGGAGGGATGCTCTCTCCTGGCTGTCAGGAGAAGCAGGACACTCTCTAGGAGCAGAATTCAGAGTTCATTTTTATTTCTACTTGAACTAGAGGGAATATTTGATCCAGAGCAGCTCCCCCCAGGCTGAGGCTGCCAAACTGGAGGCTCCAAGTGAGCAGCAGCACATCCACAACAGCAAAACGTATGTATCACCCTTCAGGAACTTGACTGCTTCCCATGCATGCAAACACACTCGAAAATAGCCCCAGAGAGGTTCCTCCCCTCCCACATGGAAGCAGCTGCAGAGAAATCTCAGCTTAATATTGACATTTCCAGCCTGGAGAGCACCCAGTTTGCCTCCTTTCCATCTGGAGTTTGGGATAAAAAGGCACTGATGTGGCAGGAGGGGGAATGGGCAGCAATGCAGGGCCACAGTGCCCTGTCCTCGTTTCTCAGAGTCCCCAGAGGCCAGAGGGACAGAGGGCTGCACCAAGGGATTGCCTGATGCTGCCCTCCTTTAGAGGCACAGCTAGGAGGAGGAAAAGCCTATTAAAAGGCTGAAATGTAGCATGTAGCTGCTTTTCTGCAATTGTCTGCAAATCCTCGTGCTCCAAAGCATTTTTCTTGAGAGTGCTCACAGGCACACTGCAAACAAGCATAAGTACTGTCAATTGTTTTAGCATGATAAATGCATTTTAAAGCTTTCAATATTTTTGTCTGTTTACTGGCACACTCCTTGAGGAATTTTGACAAGCTTGCCAGAGTGGAAGAGCAGCAAAATGCTTCAGCTTGCTCTGAACTCCACTCAGATCCTCAAGTCGAGAACCTGGCTGTTGCTGGAGGGGGTTGAAAGAGCAAAACCCACCCAAATCAGTGCTCCTGGCAGAGAGGGGCTGGCCAGGGGCAGTGGCTGCTCACAGCCAGCCTGTGACAATCCCAAAGCTCCTTCCCTGAGCCTCAGGGAAGGGGTTAATGGGGCTTCCTTGCAGCCCAGCCCTGCACAGCCAGCCGTGAGTCAGATGTGGCCTCACCACCCCCACAGCAAAGAACCTGTCCCTGATGTCCCATCTAAGCCTGCTCTCTGTCCCTTTGAAGGCACTCCTGTCACTCCAGACCCTTGTAAATGGTCTCTCCATCTTTCTTGTCCTCCCTTCAGGTCCTGGAAGGCCACAGTCAGGTCACCCCAAACCTTCTCTTCTCCAGGCTGATGGTGTCAGAGACACCTGATGCCATTTCCACCTTCACATTTCCCTTCCCCAAACCTCAGCCCCCAAAGCTGAGCAGGATTAGGGCTGGGGTCCACACAAAACAGGCTGAAAGTTCCCCCCCCAGGTCCTGGAGCTGACGTGGAGAAGGACCTGGGCACCTACAGAGTGCAAAACAGGATGGGAGTGTTCTGCAAAGCCTCAGTCCCACCCTCTGCACTGAGGCAACCAGCCCACGGGGGAACTCTGCTCTGCCCCGAGCTGGGTGAGAGCTCCAGGAGATAATCTCTGCACAGATCCCTTGGAAAGGAGCCCAGAGCCCTCTGCACAGCAGGAATTCCCCAGGGATGGGAAGGGAAAGGAAGGGCTCCTCATGGCACAGGCAGGAGCTCAGGAGCCAAACAGGGAAATGCTCTGAGGGCAGAGCAGCAAAAGGACAATTTATGGCCCCAAAAGCCAACAAATACCCCAAACCCACAACAAGTATCCCACCAGAATGAGCAGGGGAATAGCACTGGAAGTGGCTCACATAAAAAAAAAGGTAATCTGCTAAAGAGTAAAATTATACAAGCCAGTTAGCACAGAGTATAAAGAGCTTTTAATATTGATTCACTCAATATTTCATGGAATTCACATCTTGCTCAACAGTGGAAAAACGAGAGAGAAGATGCTCAATTTGGTCAGGTCCTCAAGCCTACAAGCCCAGACAAATAGCAGCATTGTCAGCTCTGGGCTGGCTTCATGTTTTAATAAAGACACTTTCATTTTAGCACCCTGCCAAGCACATTTGGTGCTGGCTGTGCACAGGGAGCTGCCTGAAGGGATGAGGACACCACAGCACACGGACTCAAAGCCTTGCATCTCACCAACAGCAAGGGACGAGGTCAAAGCTGTGACAGACACCTCCCTGCCCTGGCCATGGGAGTTGCAAAGCTCAGGAAAAGTGGAATTGCAGCCAGCTGAGCCCCACTCACCGAACATGTTCCCGATGTGGCCGTTCTTGGTCAGCGGGCGCAGCTCGTTCTTCCCCATTGCGTACTGCTTGTAGTTATCCCAGGCAAACTTCATCATCTGGGAGGGGAAAAGGCAGTGAGAACAGTCAGCAGAAGGGAGAGTTTCCAAAGCTGAGCTCTGGGAATCTGTGGCAGTTTCCCACTCACTGCTAAACCCGTGGTCTGTTAATTGTAAAGTCTTAATTCCCACTGAACACGAGGAGTGGGGCTGCATCCAGAGGTGGGGTGAGTCTCCAGCTCCTCATTTCTGGGGAAGAACCTGGCACATCTCCCACCAAAAGCCCACGTTTCACCTTGGCCCTGCAAACCACGTGGGGTTTGTAGAAAGCTGTCTCCATCTCTGAATTTCCAACCTTTTTCAGAGAGCAGCAGTATTTCAGAATGCTTGTTCAAATAGGCTAAGAATGTAAGGCCAAAGCTGATCTGTGCCTAAGTACAGGGAAAAACTGATCTTAGGGACTGCACAGAGGTTTTCATTCTGTTAATTGACAGAACACATTCACAAAGACCAAATCCATGACATTTTGTTATCTTCCATCAGAACTCCACGGTGCTTTCTTCAGAGAGCTCTGCACAGGGGCTGGGTGATTTCTGAGCAACCCCTTCCAACTCAAACAATTCCTTTTGGGATGTTTGAGCTTTCCTGCCCAGGCCCAGCACCCTGAGGGCTGCAGGGCAGTGCTTGTGCAAGTTCCAACACACACACACATCCCAGCGCAGCCTCTTCTGTCCTCCTGCCCCTCTGGGAGGAAAAATTAAACATGCAAGTGTCCTTTCTTCACCTGGGAGAGACTGGGACTTGTCAGCTTCCAAGGAGTTGGAAAAAGCTGCCTTTTCTACCCCCCACCCCAGCCTGGCCCTGAGCAGCTCCAGCCCCAGCATCGCACTGACCTGAACATCCTTTGATTCAATCCCTGGCAGAAAAAGATAACAAAGGGGGAGAAGAGGCCTCAGAGAATCAGCCATGTTCTCCAACAAAGATAAGAGAGCGCTGAAACGCTTCCCTCAGACCAGACTTTTGAGGGAAAATGACAGTTTAAACGGAATCCTTCCTCCACAGAGCACTCCTGGCTGCTCTGTTTCAGGATCAGAATCATCAGGTTACGTTGGGCTGAAATTCCTCCTGTCATCTCAGCTCTTGCTCTTCCCTCCAGCTGTGTGTTTCACAAACCCAACATCACAAGCCCCTGGCGGTATCCTCTTTAATTAGCAAAAAGCCACATCCCCAGATTCCCCTCTCCTTTTTAAACATCGAGCTTCCAAAGTAAAGTTTCCTGGAGCTGTTCAGATGGAGGAGGATAAACATTTGCTGAACTGATTGCTAACACTCAGGCTCCAACACCACCAGGAGATGGAATGCTGGACAAACAAATAAAGGCAATTTGGGGTTTAAAAACTCGGTGTGGGATGAATTAGTCAGTGGAGAGCTCTGCTGAGGAAACTAAATAACGACCCAAGGAGGGGGAAAAAACCCTCCACAAAATGCACTCAAACATGTCCCAGGCATATGACTCAGGGTGTTCACTTTATTTTGTCAAATCTCTTTTTGGTTTGTTTTGTTTTTTTTCCCCAGTGGCAGCAGGTTCTAAATGGGAAGCTCTCACTCTCCATGAACACAACAGGGTGAATCTTTGAGGAGCTCTGGCCTCTCTTGGGGCAGTGCAGGGCAGTTTGATGTGTCAGAGCTTGCTGCTGAAGCTGGCAGCAGGAAGGATGCTGTTTGTCCAGGCAGCGTGCCCACAGCAGGGCTCCTGCACCAAAAGGAAAGAGCCAGGCACCTCCTGGGCCCCCCTCAATCGGAGCTGGGGAAGGGGGACCCACCCTGCTGGCACACAGCGAGCCTGGACACGCAGAGGATGTGGAAATGACTCTGTTTTGTCCCCTAAAACTCCTGACGCTGTAATCCTGACTCGGCTTCATTTTAAGCTGAGTATGACATTTTAATTTATTTCCTTCCTTTAACTTCTTTAATCCACTGCAGAAGGTCCAGGGTGAACCCAGCTGTGCTGGCACAGCTCCCTGGGGACCCAGAGCCTGCAGACACCCCATCCCAGGGAGGGCATGGAAAACCAGCCATTCCCTTCAGCCTCCAAAAGCCACATCTCCCACAGGGCAAATCTCCTCTTTTCCTGTCTCCTCATCAAGGAGGGACAGCCTGAGGCTCCCCAAAGTGCCCCACTTCCCCCAGGGCTCCGAGTGCTGATGGAGCCAACACTGCATCCCTCATCTGCCTCTCCAGCCACTTCAGCTGCCTTTCTCACACTGCTGGGAGAAGTTCCCCAGCACAAACTTCTGTCCCAAACTCTGCCGATCATCAGGGGATGGCAGCGCTGCCTCACCGAGCTGCCAGGCTCCCTTTAGGTGGAGCACACGGAGCTGGCTGCCTTCAAACCCTGCAGATTTGGGAGGCAGGATGCAGAACGTGGCAGCTTTTCATCTCCCAGCATCCCAGAGCTTGCCTCCCTCCACTGACGGCTCCAAAAAGCAGCAACTGGAAAAGGTGAAGAGCCAAAAAAGCATCTGCACCACTCTGCCCGTTCTGGCTCCCTGCAGCTGCCTCTCCAGTCCAAATTTAGCACCTCAGCTTCCAAAGCAGCTGAGGAGGGATGCAGCAAGGTCCTGAAAAGTGGAGGCTCCACATCCTCTGAGCAGAGATTCCAAATTCCAGGCTGGAAGGGAAGGGATGGAGGTGCAGGAGGGAGGGGAATGTGTGTGGTGAGGTGTTCCAGGCTCATTTCTGATGAGCCACCAGGATTAGAAGTGAATATTTTATGGATTCTGGTCCTGACACATCACAATACATCAGTGTTAACATTGTGCCATTTTGCATTTGAAAAATGGCACCGGAACCACAAAAAATTATGGAAATAGATCCATAATTTCAGATTTTGTTCTCACCAGTGAGCCATCTGCCACCTAATAGACAATTATCTATTTGGGCCTGGCATTCTAAGCAATCTGGGTCTCCACTGATTTATAGCAGAGACTTCCAAATTTATAACTTAATTTGTCACATTGCTCTTGCCTTTCCTTTCACCTGTAAGTCACTTGTTACTTTGGAGAGTTTCAGCTGCCCAGCCAGACAAGTCTGGATTAAAATCAACTAGAAATGACAAAACTGACCTCTGCAAACCTGCACTATCGTTTTCACCTTTTAGATCCCTCTCTTTTCCTGTGCTTTGCTCCATCCAAACCCAACAAGGACCTGGCTTTCAAGCCCACCTGTGTTTCACAGAGGCAGCAGCAGAACAAAAAGCATTTAGAGAATGCTGTGATCCAGGTAATGAGGAAATGGGTCTCGGGATAAAAACTTGACCAAGAAAGTGTTTTCACTTTGAAGAGATGTGCAAATCTTTAGCACATTTAACAACTGAACCACTCCAAATCTCTGGGTTTATGGACTTGCAAAAAGCAGAGAGATGAGAGGGGAAGAAAAGAAGAAAAAGCTCCCCTCACCACCACTTGCCCTCCTTTTGTTAACAGGGAAGATTTCCAAAGGCAGAGCATTCCCAAACAGCTATTTGATTAGTTTTATCCATCTAGACTGGGATAATTAGTAAATGCTTAAAAGATGAAATCTAAATATACCAACCAATCAACCCCTTTCAAGCACTTCCAAGGAACATTACACAAAGCCATTATCTTCACAAGACAACCACTTCCGTGGCTCTTTAGCCTCCTTCCTTCAACTTCCCTTCAAACATTTCCCTATAAAATATCAAAGAAATTTCCAGTTTGAGTTAAAAAAAAAAAAAAGAGGGCAGGGGGGTGAGTGTAATTTTAATATTTATTTCCCTATTGTATTCCTAACTTGTTTTTTCCCCACCTCTCTTCCTTTTCCTGCAGCTGGAAGCAGATTATTTGTGCTGACAGTTTCCAAAGCAGGATCAGTTCTTTCCCACTTTTAACCTCCTTGCTGCCCCACAGTAGCTCTGTGCCACTTTGGCTCTTTAAGCTGCAATAATGCCATTTATTTTCTCCTGCTGTATAAAACATAATTTGCCAGATGAAAAGAAAGAAAAGAGGAACTGTCAGTCTTGTAGGAAGAAGTCTGCCTGAATACATTGGGATAACTCATTTCTGTTTGGAATAATGGATGCATTTTTCCCTTATCAGACTTGCATAAACCTGTATAATTCAGGATCTGCAGAAAAGGTAATGAAACAGCATCATGTTTACTTTGTGTTGCTGCCTTTAGTATTATCACATGGAGATATAAATATCCAGGCAAACAGCAGGGCAGAATGCTATAAAAAGGCTGGAATTCATTTGAAAACCTTTAATAGAAAGCTGAGCAACTTCTCAGGTTACTTCTCTGGGCCCGTGTCCCCGGTAATGCTTTTATGTAACAGCAAAATGATAACAAAAAGGCTGTGTGCTCACTCCAGAGCGTGGAGATGTTCCATTTAGGCAGACACTGATATCCAGAGCCTTCCTCTGGCTGCCTCTAAAAGCCTGGAAGTGCAGAGCAGGAGGAGCTGCAGCTCCAGGGACGTTACCAAGCAACTCCCGCGGATGGACACCAGCATTGATAATCCATCCTAAAGTAATTACACCTCATAATTAAAGATTACAGGAAATCCAATAGATCCCAACAGGAACTCCAGCAATTGTGTTCCAGCAGCCATGTTCTGTCCTGCTGGAATGGAGCACTCAGGAACTGCAGAGATTTCCATTTCATGGGTCCTCAAACGCTGCCAGCACCTTGGGATGTGGTCATCCAACATCCCCTCTCTCCTCCCACCTTCAATCAAACTCATCCCTTTAACTGATGGCAAAGGGGTAAAACCTGAGCCTGTCACTCCAAAGGAAAGCCAGGAGAGCACAAGCCCAACTCCAGCAGGATTTCCTCTCCACTGGTGGCTGACACATCCTTGGGCAGCTTCCACTGCTCCTCAGCTCCTCCAGCTAAAACACACTCAGCCCTTTCCTCCCAGAGAATGGGCAGGGTGGAAATATCCAGAGGGCACTGGACACAGAAATATCCAGAGGGCACTGGACACAGAAATATCCAGAGGGCACTGGACACAGAAATATCCAGAGGGAATTGGACACAGA